AAAAGATAGATAGATAGATTGAAAAACAGACAGAAAGACACATATTAAATGTGTAGTTTAAATCGTGATTAAAGCACAAACGCATATATATGCATATATATATATATATATATATATATATATATATATATATATATATATATATTTGTGCTTGTGTATTTGTGTATATGAAAGGGAGAAAATATATATGTATGTGTGTGCATGTGTGTGTGCGTGTGTGTGCGTGTGTAAAGGATAATATTATGTCTACATTTTTATATATCAGAAAGTTTTAAGAAAATTAATGTCATAGTAAAAAAATATTTCCTGTTATACCTTTCGTAGTTTACAATTTCTTCGAACAAAATATTTTTATTGATATAACAATGCGTGTGCAGGAATAGAAGCGATGCAGGAATTTTTCATATTTTTTTTGTTTTTGTCTAGACAATTTCATTTAGTTTCTTTTAGTTTAGTTTAGTTTCTTGTTTTTATATGTTTATTAATCTTGTTATTCATATATAATCATAATTATAAAATATATGCAAAATCAGAAGCACGTCATTTTGGTCATATTCCTAATTAATTTTCCGAATATACATGGCGCGACAAAAGTAACCCCTCTTTTTATGCATTAACATTTATTGAACAAAAATAAATTGCAGTAGTTTAAGAAAAGTTATAAGAATTGCCACACGGAAACAACATGATTTTTTTTATGAATAATAAACTATTTAGCATCCTCAAAATAATCCTGTTCAACACAACGCTGATCACTACCAGTACCACTACAAAGCATTTCACATTTTCTACACTAATTCATATATAAATCAGTGTAAATCGTAGGCTTGCATTTAACTTCCATATTAAAAAAAAAAATTTTAATTTATCAACGCTATAATAAAAAAGAGCAGATAACAAAATAAATAATCACATATAAATCATATACAAGGTGCGGCAAATGTAAATCAATTTTTAATTTATTAAATTTTTGTTGAACAAAAATAAATTTATATATATTGGCACATCAAAACAACATGATTTGACTATTTAACACGTTCAAAATGTCTCCTTCATATTCAATACAATGCTGAACAACACTTCTCCAACATTGCTACAAACCATTTCACATATCTATATTAATTTCAGAAACACTGACCAGAATTTGTTTGTTTTAATACAGGAATTGTTTTCGGTTTGAGCCTGTAAACATGATCTTTCAGTATAGTCATCAATATATAGTCAAGTTTGGTGGTGTTCGGTCGGGTAAACAGGATGGCTGGGTAATCATGATGACTTGGATCAATAGGCTCCAACTCATCCTATGCATTTCAACTCGAAAAAAAAAAATGGTTTTTTTTTTGCCGTACCCTATATATATATATATATATATATATATATATATATATATATAGGAGAGAGAGAGATAAATGAAGGAGGCAGAGGGGTTAAATAGAAAGATATATTCGTAAGATTAGTGCAACACAGTGACAAATTTCTGTGGTACCCATTTAAGTATGGACAGATATTTTCCAGCTGTCCACATATTACAAGGTGATATGTATTCTTTTGATGAATATTTACCCAGGCCTTGTGTCAGACTAAACGTAGTTTACACACACACACACACACACACACACACACACACACACACACACACACATATATATATATATATATACACATATATTTATAATTTATAAATGTATATGATTTTACTAATTTTATAGATATGAACAAAATTACTAATTTCATATATGCATCCATATATCATTCATACTTAGTTTATATGTACATAGTGCATGATGTTTTACCAATATACATACGTACATACATATATATATATATATATATATATATATATATATATATATATATATATATACATACATATATATATATACATACATACATGCATATATATATACATACATATATATATATATATACATATATATATATATATATATATGTATATATATATGTATGTATATATATATGTATATATATGTATGTATATATATATATGTATATATATATGTATATATATGTATGTATGTATATATATATATATGTATGTATATATATATATGTATGTATATATTGTTGATATATAAATAAATACATAATTTTTACTATATTTAGATAAGAATGACACGTCTGCCAAACTTAGTAAAGCTTATTTATACATTCACTCACACATTTACAAACACGCATATATATAATACATGAATTTTAGTAGATTTTTGCATATGTAATTATTTAAAAATATTTTATATACAGATGCATTTAGTTTTTACAAGTCTTACTTATTTTAAAATTTATATATGTATATATATATATATATATATATATATATATATATATATATATATATATATATATAGAAAAAAATTATATGTAATTTTACTAAGTTAAATTATGCATGGCATTTTTTTTATAACACAAGGCCCTAGACGAGAGTCAGTTTAGCTGAGTGAATATATATGAATTTTCATATATATAATTTTTCATAAATCTTTTGTGATCGATCGAAGCAAGGCGATAATGCCACTAAAACGGAAGGAGTTCCTAGAAGTGGAAGAGAAACAAATGAATTTAGAAGCAACCGGAAAGCCAATCTTAAACAGGAAAACATAGAATTTTGTATCGGTTTTATTATATATATTTATTTAATATAATCTTAATAATTTATGATTTATATTTATATATATATATATATATATATATATATATATATATATATATATATATATATATATATATATATATATATATATATATATTATGTTTAACCAGCGAACTGACTATAGATCTATGTAAACTAAGAAATTGTTAAACAAAACCATACATATAATGCAATGGCGGAGGTTCTATTTTATATATATATATATATATATATAGAGAGAGAGAGAGAGAGAGAGAGAGAGAGAGAGAGAGAGAGAGAGAGAGATAGATAGATAGATAGATATATATATATATATATATATATATATATATATATATATATATACGTGTGTGTTTTGTGTACGGATTTAGATTGATACATATGAACAAACTTGAGATAGATCGATAGATAAATAGATAGATAGCTAGCTATATAGATAGATAGATAGATAGATAGATAGATAGATTAGATAGATAGATAGATATAAACAGGCGTGAGATACAGAAAAAGATAGTGACAGGCAGACATATATTACAAGGCTTGTTATAGACAGATAGATAGATAGATAGATAGATAGATAGATAGATAGATAGATAGATAGTTCTTGCTATTACGAAGGAAAATATTTTACGATTTATTCTTTTGCGTATGTATGTGTGTGTTTTGTATGCGAGTATTAAAAGTCTATCTATCTATCTATCTATCTATCTATCTATCTATCTATCTTTGTACATGTTTGTGTCTGTATGTTTGTGTGTTTGTGTGCGTACATTTAATCATACAAGCCTATGTGTACGTATATAAGGCACGCAGGGAAACATGCAAATTCCCGCCCTTATAAAAAGCCAGCTCATATTTTCTTTGTCGAAAAGAAGATGCGCAGAATCTTAATATATTTATGAACTGGAGATGCGACTATCCAAACAAATACGAGAAAAAATATCCTTTATTAAAATCTCTTCGTCCATGAAATAATTTTTTCTGGCCTGCAAATATAACAAATAAAAAAAAAATAAAGTAAAGAAAATGGAAAATCTCCTCTTTCAATCCTTTACGTTTTTGTTTTCATTCTCTATGTTATTTATAATAAATTTTAAAGAGTAAGATTCGCCACATAATGTGTTTTCCAGCAGCATTGCAAATTCTTGTTTCCCAGAAAATGTGTTGAGTTGAGGGTATTTAGGAGTTAAAATTATCCCTCTGCAAGGCACTCTATATAATTTCCATACAAGTACTATGATTGAAGGTATTACACTTTTTGACGGATTTAGGCATTTGAGAAATACTGTACAGAGTTCCTTCAATATTCTGTTTTGAATAGAAAAAAAAGTGAGACTGAACAAAAATATCTTAGGGAAATGTTCAGTTCCAGCTATATAAAATATATAGACAATTATATGAGGCATATTTATAAATAAATAGATATACATATTTAAGAAATATCTATCTATCTATCTATCTGCAGAATAATTTATCCGTCTTTCAATGTTTTGGATTCCGAAGTAATAGACAACACCTCAGGTACCTTTCTGATGTTATATTATTCTTCCTACCTGTCAACGAACGTCAACAGATTTTATAATTTCAGGTTAAATATTTTTGAAAACTTTTCAAATTTCAATATATATATACATATACATACATATATATATATATATATATATATATATATATATATATATATATATATATATATATATATATATATATATATATATATATATATATATATATATATATATATATATATATATATATATATATATATATATATATATATATGTGTGTGTGTGTGGATTTATATATATACATAGACATATATATATATATATGTGTGTGTGTTTTTGTGTGTATATATACACGCACATACACACACACACACACACACATATATATATATATATATGTGTGTGTGTGTGTATATGGCAGTTCTCACTATTCATAATTATATATATATATATGTGTGTGTGTGTGTGGATTTATAAAAGTTGATATATATATATACATACATATATATGTGTGTGTTTGTGTGTATATATACACACACATACACACACATATATATGTGTGTGTGTAAATATATATATACGCACACATATAAATGTGTGTGTGTGTGCGTGTGTGTGTGTGTATGTGGATTTATAAAAGTGGATACAGATATCAACACTCAACTGACGACAGTCTTTTTTCATGCTAAATGCGTTCGAGCATGAAATAGTGTCTACTTTTATTAGCATTCACTTTTACCCATATATATATATATATATATATATATATATATATATATATATATATATATATATATATATATATATATATAAGGTTATTGAAAAAAAAACTCCCTGTTTTATGT